GGACCCGGTGTCTGAGGAACACCCGGGCGCTGGCGCCGACCTACGCTGGATTCCCCCAGCAGCGCCCCCCGGGTGTTGAATCCCCCAGCAGCCGGCCCCGAGGCGGGGGATCCCCCCAGCAGCCCTCCCGGGGGTTTGGAGGCTGCCCCGTGCCCACCCCGAGCCGTGACGGGGTGCTGGGAAGAGCCGGTGCCCTGCAGTAACGTAGAGCGTGCTCCGGTTTTGCTTTTTGTCTCATTCTTCTGGGTGAAGATTGGTGAGGCCTTGGAGGCGAAATGTTTGAAGTTTCCTGTTAGAATTAATTACCATAATGTTGAATTACCTGTCGGCCTTTTCTCGATTCGTGCTTGTATGTGGCCGTGAGTTTCCCACCAGTGTCCAGTGAAGGGCGCCATGTGGAAAAGGATCTGTCGGGTCAGACTGATCGTGTCATTGTACTGGTAATTGGGCACATAGGATGGAAAGATAGAAGTTCCTAACATATTTGCCCAGTTAAATTGTGGACTTGAACTTCCTCATCTCTTTATACAGTAAACCTGTTCTGTTTCTGGATGCAGTCTATTTCGATTGCAGTTTTTTTCTGTGCCCTGGGGCAATTGCCCTATCCTTTTGTAAAGGTAATTTTAAAAATCTGTGATATCATGTTTTGGAAATGCAGTGGCTGCCACTGCATTTAGTAGCAGAGACTGCCACCGTGTTGTGTATGATAATGTATTTCCTCTAATCTCTACTTTTAATTGTAGCATTTGTTGTAACATTTAATTTAGCTTGGTGGTTGCTGTTTTAATTTTAAATATGGTTGCATGTAAGATCTTTGGCTGAGCCATATGCAGTGTCACATAGGTCTCTCTTCAGAGTTCTTTTATTTGATTTGGAACCTCAATGCGCAGTACAGATTTACCTTTATTTCTGACATACTACCCTGTTATCAAGCTGAAGCACCCGCTGTCAAAATGCATCCAGGAAACTGGGGCAAAAGAAGAATGTTACGTGAAGTCACAATAAGCAAGACAGAGTTGAGAAGAAAGGCTGTTCTAAAGAAAACTAGATTTGCAATGTGAGATACTTCGTCAAGTATTTACATTCTAAACCACTGAAGGCTGCAAACCAGAAGTGAACTGTGCGTTTGTTAAAAGTACAGTCATAGCAGCCAGTAAAACCAAATTGCTGAAGCTTTCCAGTTAATTTATTGTTGTCTGATCAGTGCACCTTGTCAGGGCCTTGTTCTTCCCTGGCTCCAATGGAATGGTAAAAGGGATTAGTTTACGCCACATCGCTTGGGGTTCAACTTGAAAAAGTTATATGTTGTTCACGAGGCAGAGCAACAGTTGCTTTGGGTCTGCTGATGGCCCATCACTCTGGCAGCACGATTGCCCAGTTAGTACACCAGTGCTTTTATAAAACTTATTAAAATAGCATATTGATGAGGCAAAACTCAGAGTTCAAGGAAACAATTTTCTGTCTCATCTAAGGCAGGTGTTTCCTGTGCTGTGGTCTTCTGCAATAGCAGGATACAATTGAACGGGATTCATCAAGAGCCTGAGCAGGGCTTTTGGGAAAAGCTCGATGTGGTGCTGAGGCCTGGGCAATACAGCGCTAAGCTTGTTCCTTCACTCCTGGTGGAGTTATCCATAGGCTTGAACTAAACCGAAATGACACCTGGCCCTGTTGTGGCCCGTGGGTGGGATTTACAGGCAGGCATTGCTCCCCAGGACTAGCTCTGGAATGCGGTGGGTGGGTGATTTTTGGACACTAGACTCCCAAAAGCAAAACGTTAGTTACTTCCGCCCTCATACAGTCTGACCTAAGCAGCAGGTGCTTCTTCCTGCTTCTCTTAAAATGATGTGATAACGTATGCCAAAGATACAGTGTCCAGGGAAGAAGGTGGGTCGCTTTGCAAATCTGCTCAAGACTGCTAGTTGCAGCGAGTGCTTGGAGTGTCAGTGTTCTGCCAGGAGTCCAAGCTCTTTTTTTGCCTTCTCACTTTTCATGAGTGGACAATGGAAAGGGATAATTCCTCATACAAGGTGATTGTTCCTTGACAGCGATAGCTGCTCTTATGCTAACGGATATGAGCCCGTTTTAAATGATGACGAGAGCTGCAGAAACAATGCTAGCGGTCTGCTCTTGGTAGGAGTAAGTTGTAACTCTGTACTGCCTTGAATTTGTCATCACCAAAAGACATCAAGGTTGGTCAAACTTTCAGAGTGATGTCTGTATGAGGAAGGACTGCGTAATCTGGGACCCGTCATTCTGGGAGAGAATTCAGGCATACTTTCAAGTAGAGAGGTAGGACAGAAATTTACAAAATAGGATCAAAAATGTTAATGGAGGTAACTCTGTTTGAAGCTGGCTTTTCCCAACTTTCATATCCCTGGTATTGTACTGGAAGAAACAAAAGGACGTAGCGCTTTATGCAAGAAGCAGACCTGTGACGCTCCTCCCCGGTGTCCAGCCAGGGTCTGCAGCTGCATGGTTTATGGGAGTTAGAAGGAAAATGAGACAAGTACTAGGATTAGAGATCCACTGAGCATTAAATTAAGCATATCGAGCGTATCTCAGACAGTATTTCAGTCAAGAAGCCTATATGCTCATCCTGTCGTTACCCTTTCCTGGACGTCTCCTTCTGGCCATAGTTAGTTTACAGGCTAGCCAGCCCCCTGTTCTGATCAGTATGACTGCTCTTTTATGGTCATAATACTTAAAGGTTTGCTTTTTTAAAAAAAATTATTACTAACACATATGCTTGCTAAATCACATATTGTTTTTGCTGAGCAGATATGCAACCACTGGTTAAATTAGGCTGTGTAATCAATAATTATTCCTCAATGGAGAAGTGACCCAACTTTTTTTTTTTTTTTTTTTTTTTTTTCCTCTAACGTTTTTCTTTTTTTAG